CATCTTTTCCTTATTTGTTCCACGTAAAATAGCGTGGAACATCATTATAAAGTAATGTTTTGGCAAATTGGCCGAAACCGTCAAGCTTTTGGCCTAAGGCAAAAAATTCAGTGAGTGTAGTTTTCAGTGGTTCTAAAGATCTTTGGATAACATTTTCTTCAGCGAAATATACACGCTGACCATTTTCAAGATGCACTGCAGGATGCTGTACAGGTGGATCTCGATCGTGGATGGAAAAACTAAAAATACGCCAGATAGCTTCGTTGTTGCTGATGTATCTGCCCATTTGATATTGTGTTATTTCATTATTTTTATTAATATCTCGCACTTCAAACGTAGCCAAATCACATCCTTTATTTACGTATTTACAAATGTATTTAATGGATGTGACGGAATTGCAAAACTCATCATTAATATGGACCTTATACGTTTTTGAAAGCAATGGCGAATATGGAAGCACTCACTGATTATCAATTTCTAGTTGATTAAAATTTGATGTTCGCATTGTGAACACATTGCTACCGTTGACGGCGTTTCTACGGCGATACAGTAGATAACCGTCAATATCCGTAATTGTGTGATTGATACATACTTTCGGAAAACGTTTATGACATTTGCCATTTTCCATGCATGATGATGTCATGTTAAAACTATCACATGGTCCATGGATTGTGTGACTGGTAACAATGTCAAACAATTCTGGGTCTATTGATGAATCCGGAATTTTAGCGAAAATGATTAGATCAATTTCTTCCGGGCGTATTTTAGTTTCCAGCCAAATCAAAAAGTGAACATGCGGCAAACCTCTTTTTGGCCATTCAACCGAATACAACCAACAAATTGTCGTACCAAAATCCGAAAACTTCACGATAAATTCAAACAAGGACTTTAATTTTCGCTTAAACACAGATGCAACGATATCATGATGATGTATTGATTGTTGGCCTGGTAACAGCAAGGTTTGTATTTACTCCCAATTTGGGTTACATTTAAATGTAATAAATAAATCGGGATGGCCATAATGACGTACGTAGGTCATCGCATCTTGGATGTACTCTTGCATGTTTTGTGAACTGCCAATGTAGCTAGAGGGTAAAATAAATGCATTACCAATGTTGTTGATGTTTAAATTTTCAGCGTTGTTTCCTATAATATCATCCCGTAAATGAATATAATCCTCTGACCGTAGCTTAACTTGATTGAAACGAAGGTATCGCAAACGTTCACTCTCGATCTTAGCATACATGTCTACAACACATTGGTGGTAGAGCTGCCGGTATCGAAGAATATAATTGTCCTGATTATCTCTTATCATCAACCAGTACGCGTAGTAACACATTGAGCTGACCTTTTTATTCGTTTCATTACCTGAAAATAAGAAATAAATTTAAATTAAGATTGTGGTGTGTTAAAAAAGTAACACTAATAAATTAAAGAAATTAATCCCTACCAGTTGCCGGATTAACCTGATTAATGTTAATGTGATATCCATGTTGACCCTGCCAAAATATCAGTGGATATTGTAGTGCATCGTACGAACGATGATATCACATGAACAGTACTGTCACGACGTGTTATTTTGATAGCTCTGTTATCAACTGGATCACCGACCATGATAAAAGCAACTTTTTCTACGGTTGGCGCGTTGAACCTGCGAGCGTGATCTCCTGATGGCGTTTTGTCAGCTCTGATGACAATTTGTAAGTTGTCATTTTGTAATTGTGTTTTTTTATTGTAAATGATGGAATAAGTTGGTTATTATTTTCTAAAAAATTCAACAACTCTACAATAGCTCTGACATCAACGACCCAATTTTCTGGTACACCTGACCTTGTATTTTAAATATACTTTCAAAATTACGTCCATCGGATGATAAATCGCAAATGTTAGTTGCGCCAAATGACGTCATTTGGAAGCAAGAATTGAATTTGCGTGCCATACGTAAGAATAATTTTGAATCATCTGATTCACCAGCTAGAAGTGATTGTAGAGGCTCCGAAGAAGTAAAAAAACCACTTTTCCTGATGAAAAACACATGCCCGGTGGTTCATTGCGGAATTTCAAAGCCTGACAGTGTTTCCATATTTGATCCATTAAACCGATGGCGATCTTTGAATGCGCAGAATAATTGATGTCTGGAGAATACTAGAACGCAAGACGAAAAAAAGACGTACGTGTTAATGCGCGACTGGTTTGCTGTCTCTTTGGATCCTGTGCTCGATATCTGGATAAATGTTGTTCACGCGCTGCTCTTGACCTTTCTCTTTGTAGCCGCAGACGTTCATCACGATGTTCGTTTGCCTCTCGCATACGACTTTCTGCTGCTCTATGCCTTTCAGTGGCGTTTACTGTAATGGTTTCATTTATTGACGTGCAGGCTCTCTCAGTACGTTTACGTTGTACCTCACGGCTGCTGACATTATTGAGGTTAGATTTTTTTGGAGGCATATCACTGAAAATGATAATTAAAATAATACAATACAATTAAAACAAAATCAGTATATAATTGTCAATGACAAAAAAAATTCACTTTAAAATACAAATGCAAACGATCGTTTAATATTATACATTAAGTTTCATCATGCATTGACTTTTTTGAATATAAATTATAATAATTCTTTTGCACTGAAAGATTGATATTCTTTTCAATTGCCAGAATTAGTAATAGAAACACGGATAACTAATTTAAAATATATTTGTTACATAAAGAACAATTATTAAATGAAGTATAATCAAAAAAATCCTAGAAATAATTTATATGTCAAAACAACGTTTGCTGGATCAGCTAGTACAGTATAGTAATATAAATATGTGATATGATAATACTTACATATATTTATTTTGATAAGAAAGTTCTAAATAATAAAGCACCAATTTTTTTTTAAAAAAAGTAAGAATAATTTCACCGAAATTCAAAAATGTTTCTTATACTTTGGACTAAGCAATACGAGGTCGGCTATATTAATGAAATGTAGGTTATTAATTAAAGTGATAGTACTTTTAACATAGCGCCATCTGTTGGATACTCACTCAATTCAGTCAACTGAATAACCTTATACCGTCATCTGTTAGAATAATACCGAACTATCTCTCTTTGTTAGATAAAAAACCATTAATTCGCAATAAATAAAATTGCAATCTCAAATTTGAGAAATAAACTATCCTATCTCTTAAGTTGGAGGAAAGCACACATTAAAAAACATTAAAATCGGTTCAGTAGTTTCGGAGTTCATCCCAGACAAAAATCGTGACACTGGAATTTTATATATATCTGTGTGTGTGTGTGTGTGTGAGTGTGAGTGTGAGTGTGAGTGTGTGTGTGTGTGTGTGTGTGTGCGCGTGCGTGCGTACGTGCGCGCGTGTGTGTGTGTGTGTGTTTTTACGTGGGCAGAGGAAAATCTTCTAAAGACACCGCGGGGCCCGCAACCCGCAGCGTGTGGGATTCATAGCTAGCCTATGCCTACCCACTAAAAACCCCTCCCTTTCCTCCTATTCCTTCCCGCGGAACCGCCGTCAGACATTGCATCGCGAGAAGGAAAGATGGGCTTTTCGCACTTCACCGAAATATTACGGGTCACTTCTTCGTAACTGCTCCTCGGAGCGGAGCGTCTTCTGGACCTTTGCGGCATAGGTGGCCACTGCACTCCAATACTCTTGTGTCATCAGCATCCTAGTAACGATGGTCTCAGGGGTCACTTCCTCTTGGAGGAGTCTGTGAAGTTCTTCCCTTTCCCTTGCGAAGCGTGGACAATGAAAGAACACGTTTTCTACATCTTCAATCACCGGGAAACACCTTGGGCATGAGGAACTATCGTCCAACCGGAATCGGAGCTGATACTCTCGGTAACATCCATGCCCTGTCAGCATCTGATAAAAATCTAATTCTCCATGTTCACTTTGGATCCACGTCATGACGTCGGGAATGACCCGAAATGTCCATCACCCAGTTGATGATTGCTCCCATCGTCGTTGCCATTGGTCCATTGTCACCCCCCTCCCTTCTTTCGTGATGGTATTCCAGTTTGAAGCCCCCTCCCGCTTGCGCAAATGTGTGTGTGTGTGTGTGTGTGCGCGCGCGCGCGTGTGTGTGTGCGAGTGCGCGTGTGCGTGTGTATGTATGTATAGTATGAGCTTAAATACGTTCCCGCTGTTTTTTGTCAAAATTAATGATTTGTTTACTATGTGTTTCACAAGAAGTCACTCAAAGTATAGCCTATCACTAGCCACTAACTTTACCCATCTTTCTGGCAGTAAATGCCACGTCGGAAGTACGATACCTCTTTTGCGGCTATCCAAAAATAAACCCATTTTTTGATATCTTCATAAGAATGGAAGCGCAGCTCTGCCAAGCCATATGCCTTCCAACGGAATATGTAATAATTTGAAGTGGCGATGTCTGGTGAAAAAAGCAGATTGCGCAGGACTTTCAGTGTTTTCAAGCAGGTTTTCGCCGGTTTTGCACTTGTGTCCGAACAGTGTCATGTAACAAAATCACCTTGTCCTGTCTCTGCTCGAGTAGTGGCCGACTCGTATATTCATTCTTTACGGTTCGACTCAAACGCATTACTTCCAGTCGATAGCAACCTCCCATGATAGTTCCGTTTGGTTTGAGAAGTTCATACTAAATTACATCCCGCTGATCCCATCAAATGCAGAGGAGAAGCGCCGAACCATGATGTCGATGCGTGACCGGGCTTACCCCACGATCTTTTACTCTTCGGAGTATCGATCTGCATCCACTTCGTATTGCTAGTCACGATACAATGCAAAAAACCAGTCTTTGCATTTCGTTTTCCCCAAACCATGTTCACCGTACGTCTCAACAAGAATATTGGGTACTTCAGCTGTAGATTTCTTCTGAATAAAATAGTGCAATAAAATTCCTCGAACATACTCTTTTCTTCACACAAACTCGACATGTTCAGCAACTAGAAACGAGATGTTTACACTGTGGCGAACAAACTTACCGACAGTAATTCCTTGTAATTGCGTTCGCATCGGAAATTATCTGCAGGTAGTTCTGATAACGCCAACTGTTATGAAACAGAACTTATTCAAGCACCTTTTATAATCGTAGCTCTGCAAGAGTCGCTCGTGTATCTCAAACTTTATCCGCATGTTCCTCGTATAATTCCCACACTGGTTCCTCACATGTTCACCGCATGTTCCATTGCAAAATCTCTTGCACTTTATCCATGTTCTCCCACATGTTTATCTCATTTTCCCGCACAGCTCAATCAGGAAGATGAACTGCAAATTAAAAAATTCAGTTTAAGTTACGAAGTGTTTTTACTAAATACTTACAGCTAAGGATATTATAGAGACCCCAGCGGATGAAATAGGAAGTTATGAATCCAGAAGACGGCAAATTCCCAAAAGTGTAATAGAAAGGCCCTAAAGATTTCCGCAGAAAAATAAAATCTCCAAAACATCAATTTTAAACCATTGTTTTAAACGTGAAAATAGATCACACTGGATTTTCATCATTTCTGGCAACCCGTGGTAGGGTGAGGGACCCTACCCGAACGTCCAAAAAGGTCTCATTTTGTTGGTAGTGGTTGGTAGTGGTTGGTAATAGTTGCTAGGAAGTGGATTTTTGTGACCTAAAACATCAAAAATTATAAACAAATAGTATATTATGCAATTAGTTTATAATGTTGTCCTTTTTTGCACGAATAAGAAGATATTACTGAACGAACGACGCTAGGAGTGAGTTTGGTAATATCTTCTTATGAGTAGCATATACTAGCTTTTGTATAACAGTGTTATAAAGACTTAAGGAAGCGAAATTAATTTGGATATTAAGTTGTAATTCGTAATTGTAGTAGATCTCGAATTCATGTTATGACGTCATGAATGCTACCTACGCAACTAATTTGTATACAAGTGGCAATTAGTTTGAAAGTCGCTATTCAAACATATATTCCAGAGAAATTGTGAAAGAAGCTGCAAAAGTAAAAAATGCTTTGATACCGAAAAAGTCTTGCAAACTTTATGAGAAAGAGTACTTAAAGATTAGAAAATGGATGGATGAAAAACATGCAAATTTATTATGCGAAGCTGTTGTTCTTTCATGTCTGTCGGAGCAGGTTGGTTAAGTTAGTATAATGCACATGCTAGAATAAAGACGTTTGTTAATTTAATGCATGCTTATTGAAACATTAGGTCCACAGCATGTAAAAGCGTCGACACTATGGTGCACTTTTTCCAAATTAAAGGCAATGCTTAAGATAAAAGACAATAATGATATTGGAACTTTTCATAAAGTAAGTTTACTTTTGAAACAAGCAAATGTGGGATATCAACCTATAAAGGCAATGGTATTTTTCCAACAAGATGTAAACACATTTCCTACAAAAGCTGATGAAACATTTCTTTTAATAAAGGTATAATAATGGCAATGGCAATAATAGTTTAGTTTTATTTATTAACTGGTATATTGTATTAATAAGTGGTATGATTTTCAGATTGTTGCTATTTTTGGCATATTTGGTGCTTGTAGACGTGTCGAATTGTACAATTTGTGTACACATCAACGATGTGAAAGAGGAAGGTTGTTTTGATAGTGAACATTAAAGTGACAAAAAATGACAAGCCTAGAATATTTATTATCGTATCCAGTGAAGAATTTAATTATGTTGAAGTCTGTAAAAAATAACATTTCCCCAAGATTCTCACATGTTAAACACAAAAAACTTTTTTGTTTCACAATCATAGCAAACGCAGCTGCAATACAATTGATATCAATACATTGGCGACAATATAAAAAAATATTGCAAATTTTTTAAAATTACCAAATGCAGAAAAGTACTCTGGTCATTCGTTTTGGAGAACATCCTCCAAGTTTCTCGCAGATAATGGTGGTGATATGACTACACTTAAACGTCATGGAAGATGGCGGTCTACAAGTGTAGTCGAGTCATACACCGAATAATCGGTGAATAACAAAATGCAAATAACTAACAAGATATTGGTTAGTGCAGAACGCAAAGAAAAAGCAAGCTCTTTAGATATAAATGCATGTTCTGGAGTGTCATTGACCAATTTATCAAATTGTACAATTAATGTACATGTTCACAAGAATTAATTTGATGTTTTTGTTCCTGTTATATTACCAAATGAAAACAAAATATAATTTTAAAGGAATAATAAATTAATAAATCAGTTTTTAAAAGTAATATTTTTCGTAACGTATTTTATTTTACTACGTACACAGCAGTCAATTTACATCGTACCACTGCCTTCTTTAAACTACATAACTGATAATATATAGGGGCCGTAACTATTGCGTTAATGATTGCTCATATTTCGTGCAGAAATTACGTAATGATTCGTGCAATAATATGCCATATTATAAACGATTTTGTTAATGGAAAAGGGTTGCTTATAATGCTGATATACAAAAAAATGCTCTTAAAACGTTTTTAATCTGCCCTAAATCGAACAAAAATGACGTAAAATTGTGATAAAAACAAAAGCCGTTGGATACGTTATTGATATAATTGGGGCTCCACATATTCGTTCAAAACTAAACAGCATTTTCATTAAAATCCGCTCCGGTATGACATAAAGAGCGTGGCTTGATCCCCTCTAGGAATGTGAAAAACCTGGTTTCAAGGCCCTACGCATCGTTTCCAATGTACGATCGGTAAAATGTTCTGTAGCGTGGTGTGTTGCGGGTTGCGTGGTTTTTTTCTTCCTTTTTTTCGAATAAGCCACTATCTCTCAACTTTTATATTTTTCGTCTTAAATGTGTTTGATGCAGCACAGGGGGTGATTCCCTATCCTGTAATAGTACACTCAAGGGGTTTGATTTGATTTATTTTCTCAAAGAACATTTAAAACTATATGCGACTTATGGGGGAGAAGTACAATCTGCGCTCGTTTTCTTGCCTTCCAAAATCTCTTCTGCATTTTTTAACCAGAAATAGTTAAAAGATTATTGTTATTTGCAGCGGTAAATGAACTACGAGATTTTTAGTAATTCTAAAAAAACAATTACCGACACCCCCGGCTTCACTCCTACGACTAACAAAACGAGAGCTCGACAAAACGTGCGCATAGTGAAGCTACATTTATACCCATGAGAGATTGTATGTGCTTATTTAATTATTTGACTGTTTCATTTATTATTAATAATAATAATAATAATAATAATAATAATAATAATAATAATAATAATAATAATAATAATAAATGAAACAGTCAAATAATTAAATAAGCACATTAGGGGGAGCAAAGGGTAGTGGGTACGAATAAATGTAAGTGCAAAGGCAATAGTGTGGACGATCTTCTTGGCGCTGTTTGATTTCAGGTGCTGAAAAGCCCAAACACTGGAAGAAGAATGTGCGATGTCCGCGCCATGAAATAAATAGTTTAATAGGTCTAGTAGATTAGGATGTACTCGGATTCTGACAGCAAGTTTTTCCTCTTTTCGGAGTTTTTCCTCGGCCGCACCTTATGGTCTCTTTTCTGCGGCTTTGATGCGATGGAGAGACCATTTGGCGTGAATACCAGACTTCGAAAGGTTTGAACGAGGATGTAGGTATTGTAATGACTTAAAGGCCTTCAGGCTAACCACATAGTATTAAATTATTCAATTTGTTTATGTCACAATTACCTACTAATTAAAGAACCTATTAACACTAATTTTTCCTTAGCTAACCTTAATTTTTCGTTTTAGAAAAGATAATTTATTATAATTATTATTTACAACAAATGTCATCGAAACTGAACGCAATTTTAGTGAACAATATGTTCTGCACGAAAAATAATGCTTGCCGATCTCTTCTTATATTTTCAGTTTCATTTTCTTGGAGGCTTTTTCAATAAAATTTTTGGAGTAAAAATGGAATCTCTTTTATTCACAGCATAAAGTCACTGCGCCGGAGTGGATAGCCGAGATCATTAAGGCAATAGTGTCGCAGCAATCTCAGACCGAAGGATCGCAGGTTCGAGTCCCGCTTCGGGCATGGTTGTATTTGTGCTCGTCCTCCCCCCCCCCCTATCATATCATGTCATTTTCACAGTTATCATACCGTTAAATGCAATAGGGGTCGCTAATGACCTACTTCTTAATGCGACCTCAAATAAAAAAAGTCATTCATATTCATGTTGCACTTGGTCAGATCAGTTTTACTTTCTCTTCAATGACGCAGTTGGCTATCGATCAATTCCCAAACTATGACATACGTTGAATCAGTTTTAGCGCTATCATTTTTCACTGACTCAGATATACTTACAGCGGTCGATTCTGAATTAAATTAATAATTGACCACATTTGCCTGTCCATTGCGTAAGCGAATTTTGTGCAAGTATTTTCCGTGGGGTACGGATTTCCGTGGGGTCGAAGCCCAAGAAAAGTACAACTCAGAATATTCTATTTCTTAATTAAGTGAAGACATGTCTAGAAATTAGTCTAATTTTACTAGCTCTATAACGTTCATAAGGACAGTTCGCAAGACAATCGGTAGGCTTTAGAAAATAAATTCTTTTTGCCGCGAAATAAACGGTCACCTTCAGAACGTGTCACTTTCTCCAGGAAACTGACACCTTTGTAGATGTGTATTTATTCTATTCGCCGGTATTTGAATATGAACGATAAATCGTTATTAATTTACCGCAATTAGTACCGGCAGTCTGGCAGACTATTTTTTTCTTTATTTGCATGTTCTACACACTGCGAATAATAGAAAAAGTAACAAGTGATGAAGTTTTTGATTAAAAATAGTGTTCGGTAGACGAATAAATTATAATACTATAAATAAATCTTAAAAGATTCGTTAATTTCCGTGAAGAATGAACTCTTCAGGGTAGTACATATTTTTTAAGCTGGCACCATGTTTTATATTCATATGTCATTTCATCAATGTTAACGTTCGGATAATCACTTAATTAACCTTTTCTTCCTGAATAGGATTATTACGTAGTACAGAAAAAGGATTTAATGATTCAATGAAAAAGGTCAATTTTTAGTAAAACTAGTTTTGTGAGCACCTGATACCAAAAAAATGGATTATTCTTGTTCCTGTATGCAGTAAATTACTTTCTCTAACACAGAACACAAGTCAGAATCCGTATTTTGTGGGCCCATCATACTGAAAAATTAGTTTTCGCAAATCGTCTCTCCTTTCGTCTGTGAACCCAAGCAGTGCGTAAATAATTCACAGGATTTTCATCAAATTTTAATTCACCGATCGATCCGACTGATTTAGCAACAACTTGATTTAAAAACGGATGTTAATTATACCCAGCCCCAACATTTAGCATTAGGCCTATTCTCTCAAAAATGGCTGAATGTTTTTAAATTGTTTGCTTGAAGAGGGCAAAGTACGCTTTAAAAAATGGAGCGGGTTCGATTTTTATTGAAAACTTTTTTCTGGAATGTACAATTTTTACCAGTTTTTACCATTGTTACCGTTTATACCAGTTCTTTGACTTCGGCCTCAGAGACGGAGTCAGTGGGTTAAGTCGCCGACGGCAGAACCTGGGCTCGCGTCCCAGTCCTGTCAAATATTTTGGTGGGTTCGAAACAGTTTGGCGGGTTAACGAGTCCATGGTCGACTTCACGTCGCCTCCAAAACTGAAAAATTTGTTTCTCAGAACCATGTGATGTACAAATTTTATAATAAAGGAAATCATAAAATGAAAGAAAGAAACTCGCATTACAATTTGTTTTTAAGAAACAATTATCGTCTTTATTTATTTTTAATAAACGAGTTTCATTTTGTCCCGTCATTTTTTGACGGGATACCCTTAGTGTTTCATATAATCCATATCGCTTGGCCTTTCAGTCAACTAAAATATCGATTTTTCGTAATTTCGTATAATGCTTACATATTCTGTGATATATATATATATATATATATATATATA